TGAAGGGGCGCATGTTCTCCCAGTATTTATCACGTCGCCGCACCAATGAGAAGTTCGCTCTTCCAAAGCTAAAAAGAAGCACTGAAAAAGGACTGCCTTTGAAAAACTTTGCAATGCTCGCTAACGCTCCGCGCCTCCCGACAAATGTCAGTGACGCAAGAGGTCATGCTGACACAGGAGGGCGGACTGCGGCGCCAGACGACAGCTCGGGCGCTGGGGTCGGACGCGTGCGACAGAGGTCACGCGCCGGGATTAGATGTCGGCAGTGAAGGTCACATGGGAGACGGTCGCTAGCAGGGAGTGGCGGGGTCATACTAGGGGCTTGGGCAGACGCGGGCGGTCACCTCGGACAGGCCTGACTATGACCCCCCCCCCCCTCCCCCCCCCCCGGCCATTGACAGTGTGTCCTCCAGCCCGCAGAACTGCTCGACATCATGGTATCACAACAGGTTGAATGATGCTCACTTACATGACCATTCAACTATTGGCCACTTGGTCATTCAGCATAGGCCATTACCGATTCGAATAATGGTCGAATCATGCCCACTTGTTTTCATTCAAAGTTTCCACCCTTATGTGGGGTGCGTTCCTTACGTTCCTGCGAGGAGTCCCCAAATTCGACAAACAACAATATTTTCGACCTCCGATTCGTTTGGTATTCTCCAGGGGGCAGAGGCGACTGCATTCCAAGTACCCCGGTCAAACGGTCATGATGCAGTCAGGAACGACAGCATGGACAATATATGTTGGAAGAACCGCGTCCGATGCGGACAGTCTCTCGCGCCACACATTGTAAGCGATTATTTTGTGCGAGAGCTTTCCAAAATGGGGCGGCAGCGGACATTGTGAATAACTTTTACCCTGTCGGAGCCACGCTTCGGCGCGCGTTCGCGCAAAACGCCCTGCTGTCGTTGACGGCCGCGCGCAGAAGTGAGATCGCCTTTCTCATCCGCGCCAGCGGCACTTAAGAGTCACTGACGAGGCCGTAGGGTCATGTATGTGAACTAAGGACGTTATCACCGCAGTTGTGTTAACCGCCGGAACAACTGTTTCGTTACTGGGGAAAGGCGAGCAATGGTCATGTTAGCGTACAATGAACCGAACGATTCCATTATTGCTTGTGGACGAATGTGGTTTACCGTAATAAGAAGGCGACCTCGCGATTTTTTTAGTTTTCGAAGATACTGATTGCCTACAACAAGGATGCGGATTAAAATATGTACAGCATCTTAAAATTTGGTTCGAAAGCACAGCCCGTTGTTCCACTTTCGCTCCAGCAAGGAAACAGCAATCCTTGCCTAACACACCTGCAGTGCAAGGACGTTATCCATGTACACCCCGTCCATGTGCGTCCTCGCTTCACATGACTTACCGTAAGGCTCCTTCAGTGATTCTAACTCCAGTCCCGCTGGCGTGCGTGATAAGGACAACCGGCAGCCGGCTATACCTTACTTCTGCAAACGCCACACAATCAGCGCATGACGTTGCAAACTCGCGCACACGCCAAAAATTGGCGTCGGTACGAAAATAAATTTCAACTGATTTTCGGTAAGGTGTAGAAAGCGCACAAAATATCAAGAGCCGCACGATTTTGGAAAGCTCCGAACCAACGCAAATGGTAAAAATGGTTCTCACCGCATTGTGGAAACTGTGCGGTCCGGACACCTTGAGCTACATGCTAAACACTAGTCCACATGCAAAATAATAAATCCAGCGCTTTCTGACCCGTGCTGCACCCGTGCATTTCTCACGTATACTCTTGAAGAGCAGCCGTAAAACGTTGTCAAGACTTGTTGCGTTGTCTAGAAAAGGGGGTAAGGCGTAAGGATCGCGAATTTTTTGTCGCATCCACGCTTTTTGGTCGCCTCCATGAATCCAGCTGCTGGCCTTCAAGGGCCTCCACGGGACAGTACGCGTCATATTTTGAAAGTCTCAATCGCCGTCACATGTATGACATAGTTAGGGGTGTATGCAGGATTACGCAATGGGGAGGAGGGGCACTACACAACTAAAAAGACCCACTGAAACATCGAGTTTGGTGCGAAGCATGAGCACATATTTTCTTGCGTGTCGTAAGACGGTGTCGCATGTTCTCGTTATCTTTAAGTGTCGACCTGACATTTGCCACTGTATTTAGTCACGTACACATACCACACAATTAGAAGGTGGAGAGGGGACACGTGCCCGTATAGTCTTGTGTTTGCGTGCACCCCTGGGCATGGTGAATTCATCTATTTGCGTCAGTCAAACTAGGAAAACATGGAATGAAAAGTGCAGTAAGTTGCGAAAGGTATCTTAAATCCTCACAGGAACAAAGTAATACAGGCACTGAGCGTGCGCCTTCAAGCTTCCACAAAACCTGATTTTAATCTAGTACCACATCGCCAGCTCCATCGGCAAAAAGCAATCCCGCCCGCTTCGTGTCCTTGAGGTGGCGTCTGCCGCCATAACCACCCCGTCAACGCTCCCTAACGTCATGTCATGACCGTCCTCGTCTCTGCCAGAGGTGAGAAGTCCTGGGCTCGGCCCGAGGAGCCGCCATCTTGCGAGTCGCCAGCGGGAGCGCGGCCGGCCGGTCCAGCCGCCCTCCGCGTGAGCGCGGCCGCCCGGTCCAGCCGCCCTCCGCGTGAGCGCGGCCGGCCGGGCCGCAGCCCCTGGTGCCGGCCGGCGCACCTCCGTCCTGCGGGCCGCTGCAGCCGGCGTCCGGCGCGCCGCGACCGTTAGGCGCGGCGCTCGGCGGACAACGCGCCCCGCACCCGGCCGACCGGGCGCCGGCACCGTTACACTGAGACTCGTGATCGACCAGGCCAGCCCCGATAACGAGACGGACGCCGGGAGCAGGGGAGCACGTGAAGCTCGAGAGGCGGGAAGTCGTCGGGGCGGTACGGGCTGCGAGGAAGGCTTTGTCCCGAAAGCTGAAGGTTGTGGCGGTGACTGACACGAGGAAAAGACCGCGGAAAACTTCGGGGCTAATGCCACTCACAGATGCCTGTGTAAGGCGTGATCCATGCCGCCCGTGGTCCAGTTGGATACACAAGTCTTTCCTGGGCTTCCTGAGACCAGCTAAGCATTGCTGCATATTGTTTCCCCGCAGGCGTCGGCGGAGCCATGCACCCTGGTGCATTCCAAGGTCACCTCTGATTTCCAGAATCAGGGCTCCAAAGAAATGGGACCTTCCGCGCCGCCCCGCCGACTGCTGACGTCAGACACTAAGCCCTCAGCCGGCGCCGCGTCAGCTCCAGGCGCTCGCCAACAGCGTCAGAGTCAGCTCGAAACGCCGCCACGTCGGCCGCTTGCAGGGCTGAGCCGCGGTGTGGGATGGCGTCTGGCGGGCCGTGCCGGAGCCCTGGCGGTCAGGTGGTCGAGGATCCGCGCCTGGCGCACCGGGACAGGGCGCAGGCCGCCCCGCGAGCGCCCAAATACGGCGGTCACAGATTGCATCTGGCCGCATGGGTGGCAGGCGACGGCGAGCACAAGCGTGCCACGCCTGTCCCAGTCCGACCCACGACCGGTGACATGGGCACATGGACGGCACCAAATTGAGGATAGTCTCACCAACGCCACTGGTGAAACGCCACAAGACGAAGCAGTGCACAAAAAACAAGCTAGTCCATTCTGTAACGCGTTCTGACGTTTGGTTATGCTATCGGGGTTTCAGAATGTAGATTTCTCGAAAAAAAACTCCGATCGTCCAAGTCCCGTGGGGTCCACAGACCAAAGCAGACTTCAACAATGCAAACATTCATCGGTCCCGACGGTATCTGCACATCCACCAGGACTGAGGGTTCAAGACCGGTTCGTTTTACGACGCTGATGAGGCGATACACACACGGAGGGGTGGGGGGGGGGGGGGGGGAGAGAGAGAAGCGGGCCACATGTCCCTGCACGGAGTCGGCCTAAAACGATGTTCGCCGTTCTCCTCCCCACTTCCTGAGACATTCTTCCGACACATGCTTAAGTGTCAAACGAGGAATGCAGCTTCCTATTCAGTTGGGATTGGTGGCAAGGGGGCGGCGGACTCGGCTCTGCCCGCCATAGCTTGAGCTGCAGCCACCCAAGTTTGAGAAGAAAGTGGGTCAATTCCGCAGAGAAGCCTGTTTATTGGCGTATTTTGAGTGTTTTACCATTTTCACAATTCAGTCCCTCCTCCCCCTCCCCACCCCACCCCACACTTATTTGGCGAAACAATGCCCCCGCGTCCACTTGAGGCTTGGCGTCTTGTGCGACGCCTGGTGCGTCTGGTTGTAATTGCGGTCTGCCTTCGCCACCGCCGAACAAGTCCACCTGCACGCTTGAGGCCGGGCGGGAGGCTGTGTCAGGCTCCGGTCCCCTGGCCTCATTAGAGGCGCTGCCTGTGCCGCGCGCCGCGCCCACTACTGTGTGGCGCCAACAGCCACGCAACAGCAGACCGCAGCGAGGTAAGCCGACATTGCCGCCGTCGCTACACGGGACTGGAGCGCGAGCGACCAGGCGCCTCTGAGCCAGGAGACACGGGCTCGAACTCCGCCAAAGGCAGCTTTCACCGGTCCCGGACTGGACCCGGACGTCGCGGCAATAACGGCCACATCAGTCGTGTGTGTCCACAGAGAGTCCCCATCCGCCGTCACCCGAGCTCCGGCCTGTCTCAGGTGGGCGACCCCTCGGTCTGGGTGGCCGATGCCCGCGGACGCCGCTCCCCGCCGGTTACCCCGGGCCACCGGAAGAGGCGGCGCCGACTAGCCTCTGCACGTGCTCCCGACACATGACGCGGCTGACGGAAGGGGCGAGGGGCGACCATTCGCCCAGCTATTTACGCACTGTCGGGAATAACTCTGACAGCGGGGACGGGACGGGGGAGGTGGAGGGGGAGGGGAGAGTCACGCACAGCAGGCGGGTGACCGGCGTCGGCGCCGGCCGGCCGGCTCGGCCCGGTTCGGCGGCGAGCCGCGGGGCAGGATCAGAGCTGCAGAGATCTGGACGGCGCTTCCCCGAGCAGACATCAGCATGCTAATCTGGCGTGTATTGCAACCAAACGAGTATTCAGCCCGCGCGGCGGACTGCCGGCCGCATACGGATCGCACGGGGGCGAACACGCGGCCGGCCGGAGCCGGAGCATGACGCAATAGGGCGGAGCAACCAGAAAAACAGCATACCGCCAGTCCCCCTGCCAGCTGACGACACGGAAAACATGACGGCGGCGGGGAAGCAGGCCGCCGCGGTGTTCGCTGAAGCCGTCGCGGTCCGACGACCGCCGCCGCCCAGGCGCCTGCGGCCCCCGGAGCCGAAGCCGAGAGACGTGCCGGGAGCCGAGGCTGCCCGGTCTCGGCTCCGTCAGCCGCCAGCGCGCCTCTGATCCACACACTTGAGCGCATCACAGATCGTTGGGAACTTCCGCTTTTAGTAAACAGGCCGTCACGTTGAAATCGTCCGGAAAGGCCACCCCGCAGCTGCCGCGTCACTTCCGGTCGTTCATGTTACCATGCTGTTCATTCATCTTGGGATGAATATGACTAATATCCGTTTAGTCACTGTTATCACGTGTCCAGTTCGCAGGCAAACGTCAACCGAGCCGCACGCACCAAAACCTCGCCGCCGCAGAGGCCGCCACGCCATCTCTTGCCGCGCCTTGCTACCAACGCCACAGTGCTGCCATCTTGTGGTTGAGATTTACACTTCAGCCCACGCAAGCCGCCCTCAGTCACGAAGCGGCTCCATCTACGGAGGGGTCGCGTCTGAAGTGATGCCGTCGACCGGATCGGGGGCGCCGCTGGCAGACGGGCGGAACAAGACACCGACCCTCGTGCAATCTACGGAAACGAAGAAACCGAATCAGGCCAGAAATCTACGAAGGTGGAGATAGATCGACCAACACATGCAGCGGAGAGCTAAATGAGTCGATAGGGGACACCGAATTGGAATACACTCCGCACCAAAACAATCCTACCGACGCGTTCAATAAGCTCAGTCGATGCCACCCACTGTTCTTCAGCAAAAACGAATGTTCGACCACGATTAAAAGGACGTCAAGAGTTTTACAAAATAACTGATCACCACCGTTGGGGCGCATCGCCGAAAGCAGCGCTCTTAACCTCCGAGACCGACTGGCTAGTACATGTTTTGCCGCGTCGTACTCACAGCTGCCCCTGACCAAGCCGCAGAAGCCAAGTGGCTCGCAGGGTCCGGACAGTCCAGTCCAGTCCATCCAGACCCATGGTGAGAGTGCTGTGCGAGGCGCAAGGAGCCGATCCGTGAGGCGACGTCTCGGTAGCACGGCAGGGCCTCACAAGCGGAGCTGAGAACTGAGGAGACGGCGGCGGCGGCGGCGGCGACAGCAGAACACAGAGTCCCACACTGGAGCTGAAGCCGCTGGGTTCGGCCTGTGCATTCCTGACAACTGGCTGGCATTTTCGACAGATTGGCAAACGTGACTAGCTCGGAGGACAATTCAGTACCGTACCCGGCCCGGCCCCGGCGATTCCACTTATCTGACCGGCACACGACACCCTCCTCTCCCTCCACCACGAGCGCCGCTCGCGCCGCAAACGCGCAGCAGCGCGGAGTGGTGACGCCGGGCTAACTTAGGCAGCCTTCGCCTTGGGGTCCCGCGCCGCCTCCAACGGCCACCAGGAGGGCCGATGGGTAGTCACCTCGCCGTCAGCGCCCTCCAGCGTCATCTGCGCGGACGCCAGGCTCTCGGCCACGCGGAGGAGGCCGAGCCCGTGCTCGCCGCTCACGGCCAGCACCTTGCCGAGAGGCCGGCCGCCGGCCGGGCCCAGCAGGGCGCCGCCCAGCGCCGCGTCGCCGGGCGCGCGCGCGAACCGCAGCGGCATGACGCGCTTTCGCACAACGCCCGTGTGGTGGGTGCGCGCCGTCAGCTCCTGGCCGACGTAGCAGCCCTTGTGGAAGCTGACGCCGTGCAGGAAGTCGGCGCTGTACTCGAGCGGCGTGCAGGCCGCGTGCGGGATCTCGTCGGCACCCTCGGGCACGCCCAGCCGATGGCGGGCCTCGCGCGGCGCGCCGCCGCCGGCCGCCGAGCCGGGCAGCGCGGCGCGCGGGTCGGTGAACGCGTCGAGCACGAGCCGCCAGCCGAGCGCGGGCAGGCGCGGGTCCCGCGACGCCGCCAGCAGGCCGTCCACGCCGGCGGCCAGCGGCAGGTCGAGTGGCGCCGTGGCGTGCGCCGCCCGGCCGTGCTCGGTACAGTCGGGCGAGCCGGCAGGCGCATCGCCGTCCAGCCCGCCCGCCTCGCGCACGGCCACCACGGCCGTCTGCTCCGAGACGTCGTCCACGTCGATCTTACGTCGCACGCGGTAGATCTTGAGCAGGCTCTGCAGGCTGCTGACCAGTGTGCGGTCGGCCTCCAGCAGGAAGCCCCGGTCGTCGTCGTGCCGGTACACGATCAGGTCGAAGAGCACGCGGCCTTTGGTGTTGAGCATCATAGCATAGATGGCACGCGCGCCGTCGTCGAAGTGGCGCATGTCGTTGGTGACAAGGCCTTGCAGGAAGGATGCGCAGTCGGGGCCGCGCACGCGCAGCACGCCCCGCGACTTCAGATGGTGCGTCCAGTGGCTGGGCGGGCTCGAGCTGCACGCGCGCGCCCCGCATGCGGGCACGAGACGGCGGACGAGCCCAGAGGCCACCCCAGACATCATCATGGCTGAGAGTCAATTGAAACGCACCTAGGAGGGCCAACAGGGGTGCAGCTTAAGCTGTGAATCAACAATGAAGTGTTCACTTTGTTTTAAAGTATAATTTGCACATTGCCACCTCATTTCTGGAGACTACAGATGTACAAGATAGTGAATGAACACTTGGGTGATGTCACCACATATCTAATATTTCAACTGGAAAATAAAACAGCACATCAGACAGGAAGGCCTAAGCATGCTGACATAGCTAAATAACAAAATATGTGATGCTCAACAGTTTGTATATTGCAGCTTTAATGTAGATTCTGTATGCCATTGATATTAACCATGTACATATTCCAATGTCACGCACAAAAGAAAAAAAGTTGTATGGACAGAGATATTAGAAAATCCAGCATGCTTGCCACCAATGGGTTCTCACCCCACACAACTTTTCTTGAATATAAATGAACACAAAATGTTGAAAAAAGCATCATAATGCACACCCCTCTTAGCTATATCCAAAGCATGAAATAATGCTCTGGCAAAGAAAATAAAACTGAATGTGTCTGCATATATGCAAGCCCTGTGTAGAGTAGGAATGCAAGGTACATCATTTGGTCTCACCCTCTCTGAACTACTGACAGAAGGTATTTGTTCACAGGGGAAGAAGAATGCATGCTCCCTGGTGCAATTTGTTCAAGCATGTATGTGATCAACACAATTTAAATACTCCTCACAACAGGTTACCAAATTATGTAGAAGCAATACATAATTGTATGACATCCCGCCCTTGACGGAATTTGTATGGGGAAGTAGATAGCTTTGAATCTACTGCTAACCGCCATTGAACACATATTCTTGAGGAATTCTGCCCTACTTTTCACCGCCGAATACTCGCATGCCTTCATCGGTACTTTGCTATGATTCTAAATATCGACCACAAGCACAAGCTATCGAGTCTGACAAATTTACGCATTACTCACCTTGCAGTCTCGTACAACTAGGAGTAAAAATGTCTCGTTAAATGAAGGCTCTCCTCCTCCGCAGCGTAAATAGGCTTGTGCCCCCAAGCACGGTATCCAGTACACCTCTGAACTAGTCTGATCGTATCGACGACCGATGTTCTTTCGAGCGCACGAGCCTCGCGCCGCAGAAGTGTCAGAAGCAGCGCAGTTGCTGATTGGTTATAATTTGCAATTGGTTGATTACGTAGGCATTGGTGTAACAAATTGTTGACATGATTGATCCTCAGGATCTCTTAACGCTGTTTTCGCTTGAGAACGGAATTGAGAAATTCGCGAATCGTGTTCCGCCGGTCGCTATTAGCCTTGGGAGCGCCTGACTCCCGGCAGCGGTCTGGGGGAGGGGGCGTGCCACCATCTTGTGCGCGAAGGGCTTCCAAGGTGTCTGATGGCTTCATGTCGTTGATCCGCTTCGGATGATCGATTCCATCCATTTGCCATTACGACACGGATTTTAGCCGGGCAACGCCACCTGTCTCTACCCCGGTTGCTGCGAGTTTTTAGAGTGCTGGCCAGTTTCGAGTGAGGACAAAGGTGAGCGACTGACAGGCTGCAGGGGAGGGGCAAAGTAAGTCTGGCATTGTATTATGGAGGGTAGCGGTTTGAATGGGATGGCGGCTTTTTTGGTTCAGTGGCTTAAGCACAATATTGATCGAGACAGTCTTTTAAGAAGTCTTTCTTAAAAGATGCTGATTCCTGCAACAAGCCTCTGGCACAAACTGCTCAGTGTCTTCCATCTTCAGCCAGGATGCATATAAAACCTGAGTGATTTTTAAGGTTGATGCCATGATGCATGCTTGATCCTCGTTGACAAGTGGGAACATTTCCAGTTGTTTGTAATTTTGTTTTGGCATTTTTAGGTCTGACTAGTCGAGGATCAACATGGTTGTGGACAGAGGTCCCCTTCCTCCAGGCTGGGAGATGAAGTGGGACTCAAGGCGAGGAAAGGCGTGAGTATTTATTAACCTCTTTTGTAGGTAGGCTTACTAATCCCACATATTGTGGTCATGTTAACATTGCATTTATGCCTGTATATGTTAAGCTTTATTATAAATTTGTTCATTGAAAATGCTTGTATGGACATCTTGCCCCAATTCCATTCTGAATTCCATTACTTTCTGTAATGGCCATTATGTATACATGTGAAGCAAGTAGCAACTTTTTCACTGACCATACTGCTATGTAGTTATGTTTTGACTTGTACCCAAAAATGGGCACAGCAAATAATGTTTGAAAGAATGAAAATAAATCATTCTCAAACCAGGTAATAATTATGAACTTATCATTCTTGGAATTTCCCCAGGTATTTTATCGACCACAACACACAGAGCACAAGCTGGGTTGACCCACGTCAGCAGACCAGCCAGTGGGAGCAGCAACAGCATCATCAGCCACAGCAGGATGGCACTCACCAGCTGCAGCAGTCAGCTGGCCACCAGCAGTATAGTCACCAGTCATATTACCAACAATCACACCAGCAGCAGCCATCTTCCCAGAATGCCCAGCACCAGTACCAGCAGCAACCAATGACTCAGACAGCACAGCAGCAGCCATATCCAGTGCATCCTCAGTTCCATGCACAGCAAGCACCCCAGACACAGTACCAGCACCCTCAGCCAACAGCCCAGGCTCAATACCAGCATCCTCAACCAACAGCCCAGACACAGTACCAGCATCCTCAACCAACAGCCCAGACACAACACCCACACACTCAACAAACAGCCCAGACACAGTACCCACACCCACACCCAGCATCCCAGGTGCAGCAGCCGCAGCCGCGGTCGTTGACGCCGCCGCGGTCGTCGGCCTCTCCGGGGACGCGGTACCAGCCACACGCGGCGCCGGCGCATGCATCACCACTGAGCTCGGTTCGGGTCGGCGCGCAGGCGCGCGACGAACTGCTGCAGGGCACCGCGCACCGCGCCAGCCCGCTGGCCGCCCGCTCCGGCCATGCACAGGTGGGGCAGAGACGTGGGCATGCGCGTGTGAGGGCGGTGTGGGATGTAGGACGGGAGGGACGGGCGTACGGGCGCTGGCTGTTTGGAACGGTGAACCTGAGGACAAGTAGGACGCTCGCTGATAAAAAACTCATTTAGCCAGGCAAGCGACAGAGGCGCCGAGAGAGAGGGGGTGTGTTGGAAGTGGAGTTCCTTGCTTTGAATGCTTCTCCTTATTTTTCAACTGGGTAAGAAAAGCAAAGATCATTTGTATATCCGCACACCGGGATTCGACACTTTGTGAAACAACTGGGCAGCAGCAATGCAAAGACGCTCATCGCCTGCTGCCCCAAGCCTGTCGCAACCTTGTAATTTTGTGCTTGGATCTGGTTTAGATTAAAGATATGGTCATGCGTGGGTTTGGGGCATGAAAGCCTGCCACCAGAAATCGCAAAGCGCGTTCGTATCCCGTACAATTCAATAGGGTGTGTGAATGTTAGCATGACGTCTTAGAGCAGATGACGGGAAGGCATTTTTCTAAACAATGAAAATCTGGCTGGACTCCATTTTCCAACACTTTCCCGTCATGTCTGTGGTCAAACCACCGCTGTCCGCTGGCTGCTGCGTCTGTGGCTGGCGAGCCGGTCACCAGGCTGGCGTCCGTCTGAGTGGCTGACCCGGCCCGCCGACAGCCGGTCAGCACGGGCAGCAGCTCGGTGACGTCACACGTTTGGGACGACCCGTGGCCGGAGCGGAGCGCAGACGGCGGCGAGGCAGCGCTGCGCATCTGCACCCTGTTCCCGCACATCGAGCCGCATGTCATCGGCGACCTGCTCACCAAGTAAGCTAGTGTGGAGGACCTGCTCACCAAGTAGGCTAGTGTGGAGGACCTGCTCATCAAGTAGGCTAGTGTGGAGGACCTGCTCATCAAGTAAGCTAGTGTGGAGGACCTGGTCATCAAGTAAGCTGGTGTGGAGGACCTGGTCCAGTTAATTGGTGTGGAAGACCTACTCACCAAGTAAGCTAACATGAGGAGCCTGCTCACCAAGTAAGCTAATGTGGGAGACCTGCTCACCAAGTAAGCTAGTGTGGAGGACCTGGTCATCAAGTAAGCTCATGTTGGATGGAGAGGGGACACTCACCAAGCAAGCTGAGATAGCCTGCTCAGAAAGCATGCTGGAAAGGGGGGGCTGCTCACCAAGCAAGCTGGGGAAACCTGCCCACCAAATTGGCCTCAAATCAGCTGGGGAACCTGCCCACTAAGTTGGTCTGGGAACCTGCATTCCAAGTAAGCGAGGGAACCTGCTCACCAAATAGGCCAAGCTACCCACTTAGCAAGCTGACCATGCATGGACGAGGCAGCTGTGTGGAGGGCCCGCGATCTGTTCACACAGTAAGCTGGACGCTGTGGTCGGTTGGACGGGGCTATAGTTATGGATGGGCAGGAGGTAGACGAGGCTGTAGCGGTGGGTGGACAGGATGTGGACGAGGCTATAGTGGGGGGAGGGGGGGGGGGGGGACAAGAGGTGGACGAGGCTGTAGTGATGGGTGGATAGGAGATTGGACGAGGCTGAAGTGCGGGTGGGCAGGAGGTGGACGAAGCTGTAGTGGTGGGTGGACAGGAGGTGGACGAGGCTGTAGTGGTGGGTGGACAGGAGATTGGACGAGGCTGAAGTGTGGGTGGGCAGGAGGTGGACGAATCTGTGGTGGTGGGTGGGCAGGAGGTTGGACGAGGCTGTAGTGCTCTGTTGACAGGAGGCGGACGAGGCTATAGTGGTGGGTGGACAGGAAATTGGATGAGGCTGAAGTGGTTGGTGGGCAGGAGGTTGGGCGAGGTTGTAGTGCTTTGTGGACAAGAGGTGGACGAGGCCGCAGTGGTGCGTGGGCAGGAGGCTGGACGAGGCTCGAGTGGTTTGTGGACAGGGTGGACAAGACCGTGTCATGCCGCAGACTGCTTAATTAGGCTAGAACCTGATCCGTTTTCCAGGCACCACCCTGACATCGAGTGATAGGGTTTTGGAAGCGTCGATGGCCATGCTTTCCTTACGAATTCAAGCTTGCTCACGGGGGCTTCATCGTTGTCCGCAGTGTATCTCCTTGTTGTGGGGTGGTCACTGCGGGTCTTTTGGGTATGGCCATAACCGGTATTTAGCACGGACTCCCCTTTCACGATGCCACCTGCCTTTTTGCTGTGATTTGATTCTAAGTTGTCACTAGCCGCTTGTGGATGTGGGAACTAATGGTTGACGCAACTGCCTTGTTGTCCAGCTACCAATCGCACCGTCGTGCCGCGGTCCGTACCAGAATGCTCGTTCCTCTGTCGCGCAGCACGGACCTGACTGGGCCCCCGCCTGGTCCGTAGGGCGTCCCAGCCCCGTGCATCTGACGCGGCCGTTCGCTCCTCTGCAGGCGCAGCCGATGGTGACCGCCTGATTCAGCTCCCTCGTCACCAGGACAAGCGGCTTGGAGGCGGCTGTGACCGGCCGACGGCCTCTGCTCGCCAGGTACAGCAGCCGCGAGGAGGTGGTGATCGCGGCGCTGAGCGTCTCGCCGCCGGCCACCGAGGCCGACCCGGACCCGAACCAGTCGACCGACTCGGACGACTCGGCCACCAAGATCAACGCCATGTTCCCGACCGTCTCCGAGGAGCGCATCCGCGAGCTGCTCAAGAGGTAGCAGGCGGCGACTCCGCGCGCATGGCCGCTGGCACCCCACCGCCCGCACCCGCACGGCTCTCGGGTCCGCTCACCGGTGGGGCTCTCGGGCTGCTGACCAGCGTCTGGCTCACGTGTGCCGCTGGCGGCTTGGCTAACAGCGTGGCGAACCGGCTGCCTGTGCAGCCGGCGGCGGCAGAGACGGCGCCCGCCGCCGGCGCGCCACCACTGACGCCGTGCCCGGCTGGGCCGCAGGTACCACCAGCGCGAGGCGGTGGTGATCTCGGCGCTGCAGGTGCAGCGGCACCCGCTGGTGACGCCGGGCCCTCTCGGCACGCCGCCGGCCTTTCGCGCGGCGGCGCTGGCGGCGGTGGCCGCGCGCGGCGCCGCCCCCCGGCCGCCGCCGTCGCCTCCCTCCTACGGCATGTCGCCGCCGGCCGGGCATGGCTCGCCGCGGCCCGGCTCGCCCTGCTGGCCATCACCGGTGCTCGGCTACGCCTCGCCGAGGCCCGACCCGCGGCCGCGGCCGCATTCGTCGCCCAAAATGAAGCTCAGGTCAAGGGCCGCGGCCGCGCGCCGCGCAACGTCGGCCTTGCTCGCTAATCGGTGTCTAGCGCGGCGCGAGGCGACTCGGTCGCTAAAGATCATCTCTGTTCGGTTCTGCTCGGTTATGTTCAGCTCTCTTCGGTTTTGTTCGGTTCTCTTAGGTTCTGGTCGGTTCTGTTCAGTTCTGATCGGTTCTGGTCAGTTCTAATCGGTTCTGGTCAGTTCTGATCGGTTCTATTCAGTTCTGATCGGTTCTGGTCAAGTTTGTCGCCGAACTTGCTGGCGCTCCTCGACTGCAGCGGCCCTGTTTGGTGCCGATGGCTGCGGTGTGCCGGCTCAGTTTTTTCGTTGTCGACAGTTTGTCTGGCTTTCAGTTGGTGGTCGTGCGTAGGTAGTGCCGGCCCTGGCGCAGCTGGGGCCCTCGCGGGAGGGCCTGGCAGCGGCTGCGTCGTCCCAACACCCTCTAGCCCCCAGCGTGTCCGGCGCGTAGGCCGCGGCCCCACGGCGGCCACGGCCGGCTCGTGTGTAGCGCCTGCGGCTTCGCTTGTGACCCCACCCTGCACGCCTCTGTGCGCATGCGCGTGTGCGGCCGCTCCGGCCAGGTGGCATGCCCGGCCGACTGGACGGCACGTCTCTGAGTGGCACGCTGTCTTACAGGTGGTGCGGCGCAGCGGGCGCGTGACCCTTGCCAGACCCCGCCCTCTCCGGTAAATATCGGCGGCCGCGTGCGCCTCTTGAGGTCGACATGCCGCGGCCGCGCGCCGTAGTATTGTGACTTAAAACGCTTGTGTGACCTGAAGAGGCGCCACATCATGCACTCGGACAAGCTTACAGCAAATGTTCCGTGCTCCAGATATGTACCGAATAAGGCACCCTTTTGTCGGGTGTCGTGCACACCCGACCTCCTGTGTGATATGTGCCGAATAAGTCACCGTTTTATCCGGTGTCGTGCACACCCGACCTCCCGTGTGGTATGTGCCGAATAAGTCACCCTTTTATCTGGCGTCGTGCACACCCGACCTCCCGTGTGATATGTGTCGAATAAGTCACCCTTTTATCTGGCGTCGTGCACACCCGACCTCCCGTGTGATATGTGCCGAATAAGTCACCGTTTTATCCGGTGTCGTGCACACCTGACGTCCCGTGTGATATGTGCCGAATAAGTCACCCTTTTATCTGGGGTCGTGCACACCCGACCTCCCGTGTGATATGTGCCGAATAAGTCGCCCTATCCGGCGTCGTGCACACCCGACCTCCCGTGTGATATGTGCCGAATAAGTCACCCTTTTATCCGGTGTCGTGCACACCCGACCTCCCGTGTGATATGTGCCGAATAAGTCACCCTTTTATCTGGCGTCGTGCACACCCGACCTCCCGTGTGATATGTGCCGAATAAGTCACCCTTTTATCCGGTGTCGTGCACACCCGACCTATGTGATATGTGCCGAATAAATCACCCTTTTATCCGGTGTCGTGCACACCCGACCTATGTGATATGTGCCGAATAAGTCACCATTTTATCCGGTGTCGTGCACACCCGACCTGTGTGATATGTGCCGAATAAGTCACCCTTTTATCCGGTGTCGTGCACACCCGACCTCCCGTGTGATATGTGCCGAATAAGTTACCCTTTTATCCGGTGTCGTGCACACCCGACCTGTGTGATATGTGCCGCATAAGTCACCCTTTTATCCGGTGTCGTGCTCACCTGACCTCCCGTGTGACTTGCATGACTGGTGCCCTGCGCAGTGCATTAAAATCGATATCATAGAGCGAATATTAAAGCCAGCTTCGGGCAGAAGCGTGCCCGGCAGTAACTAGCAACTCGTGGCATCAGCCCGTCCTGTAAACGTATGACATTAGAGCGCCGCCGGGCGCGCAGCGGACTGCGGCTCTGGGCGTCGCCTACGGCCCGCTGACGGGGCCGGCCGCCACAGGTACCTCAAGTCGGTGTTCCCCAAGGCGGACGAGGCGCTGCTGCTGGACGTGCTGACCAACTGCGACAACAGCGTGCAGAAGGCCGGAGAGCGGCTCAAAGGTGCGCCGCTGCTGCCACCTGGAGACGCGGCCGCTAACTGCCGGGTGGTGGCGGCGGCGCCGGCCGAGCCATTTTGGAACTGGACCGCCAGCCTGGTCGTATGATTGTAGCGGATGAGGGAAATCTTCGTTGGCGGCCAACGGGACAGTCCAGAAAATGATCGATGTAAGGTGACGGCGGTGATCGACGTCAGACAACCCTGCCTCTCGAAAAATACGTTGGAAAAGTGTTGAGCGCTTTGTGCTATGAGCCCATCAGCCGGCAACCCGTGCGATGGACCGTCGCGATGCCGCGCGCTCATGACCAGCAGTCAGTGAAGCAGTGCTGAGCTCACCCTCCCGCAGGCATGGGCTACGACAAGAGCATGACGCCGGTGGTGCCGGCGCGGTTCGACCTGCGCCACCAGCGGGACGTGGTCAGCATCCGACGCTCCGAGAGTCCGCAGCCCTCCCCGAGGGCGCGCATACTCTGCGAGGCTGACCGTCAGCAGGGTTCGTGCCCGAGCAGCGTGCGGCGCCGGGCGGCGGCGCGGCTGGCTGCGCGCGTGGTAGGAGGGATGCAGGCGGCGCTGGAGATTTAGCAGATAATGTGATTGCTGGTGGAGAATCACTCCTCTTCAGTCTTGCGACGGAGGGAGGGTGTGAGCGCGCTCCTGACGCATTTGTCACGTGATGCGCCTCGAATTATCGGAAGTGGACGCGCGCTATACTTTGATACAAGTTGTTGATGTCGGTTTGTCGCCCATGCCCATTCATTATCCTTTCACGCGGGCCTTTTGCTCATCTGCATGTTGTAAATTCAGCCTGCTTTGGAAGTGCGTAATTTCCTACCTACCCAACGTATTCCATGTCACTCTTTTAACATTTGATGTGCGGTCTGAGCTTCTAGAGCCGCGCACGAGTCCTGATCAGCGCCCCCGTCCCGTCCCGTCTCGTCCCATCCCGTCCCGTCCCGGGGCGCGACTGACGCGGTCGCTGCGCCGCCAGTGCGCGCCACCCTGGCCGCCGAGTTCCCGACCGTGTCGGAGACGGTGATGAAGCTGGCGCTGGAGTCGGGCGGCTACGACGTGGAGCGGACGCGCAGTGTGCTGGAGACGATGACGGATCGGGAGGAGGGCGCCAGCGTCACCGACGCGCGACCTGCCGCCGCCGCCGCCGCCGAGCCCAGGTCAGCCGGGGTGCCGGCCCAGGAGTCTGGCCAGGGCGGGGAACGTGGTCAGTCAGGGTCAGGAGGAGGGGGGGGGGGGGGGGCTGTTCTGGGAAGCTCAGCTTAGTTGTGGGACAGAGGAGCAGCGTGGTGACACGGGTGACCTGATCAGTAGAGCTGGACTAGGTGGATTGGGTGGCCTCTGTCACGGAGAACGTTGGTCGGTCCTGGCGTCATGCGGTCCTTGTGTGGGCGGCTAGTGAAGTCGGGTCGAGCCTTTATTTGGTCTGTTGATGACCGTCCCTCGGTCTCTGACGGTGGGTAGGCTCACAGTTAGACCCTTGTGTGGAGGCCGTCGGCGGTTGGTGACCTGCGGCGTTTCGTGGTGCGTGGGTCCGTTTGACTCCCCGACTTCGTCCCCCCGTTCAGATCCGCTTACCATACTGTCCGGAAAAAGGGCCGGTGCGAACGGCTTCAGAGTCGTAGATGTATTACTACCTTCTCTTATTTCGGAAAAAGAAACAATGATCAGCAGTTAACTTCGAAAATAAGCAAATTAAGTGACAGTAAGTAGGTTTGGGTTTTTGAAACGTACCGTCGTGGTTGCATGCGATAATTGCATTACCATTCAGAGCTTACCTGGGTGTTGATTTCGCGTTGACACAGGAGAGGCAACGCAGTGCTCATTGTGACATGACATCAACCGGTCTTTTTACGCACAGCGTGCTTGAGAGACCACGAGGCACGGTGGTACCTCTCGTGGCCACACACATCCCACATTCGCACACATACGAGGCCTTGCAGTCGGTCGGGTAGCAGTCGGTCACAGACGGGGAGGAGCACGGGTGGCCTGTCATTGCGCTAGGCGCTGGGCCGTGCTCCGGTCACGTGTTCGCCGTGTCACCGGGCGGCGGCGGGGCTAGGCCTGCACGGCAACCGGCTGTTCGTGTTCGCACACGCCGGGTAGGACCAATCAACCGGCTGCTCGCGTGTGCACACGCCGTGTAGGACCAATCAGCTGGCTGCTCGTGTGCGCACACACCGGTAAGAATCAATCATGCGGATAGTTTGCTCCCGTTCAGTTGGCGTCTGCTCAGCGCCCCTGAACCCGTCCATTGCGCCGACCACTGCCGCGGAGGCCCGCCGGCGGAGCTCCGTGTCGTGTCGAGGCAACCACCCAGGCGTGCACCGGAGCGGCGGGTGGCAGCCCAGCTCGGCCCGGTGCTGCCGATAACCGGCCCCAGCCCGCCGAGGCGGAGAGCGGCCGCAGCCGAGCGGCGCCGCCCGGTCACGGGGCGGCGACGGTCCGACCCCCGCCCGGGCCGCCAGGCGCTCTTCCTTCGGAGACGCGCGGGGCTGTCAACCACGGGCGAACGGAAAGTGCTGTCAGCCCGGCTCGCGGGGAATGCAGATTCGGACGTACGGGAGACGTCCATGTTACGGAGTTGTTGTCGACCACTCATGCCTCCCTGCAGGCGAATCAACAAGGAGCTAGTTAAACATTAATGTGAGCTTGTGATTTAGCCAATCCAGTAAGCTCCAACCCTGTTGACATGGTACTTGCTTTTTCCTATACTGTTACCCAAGGACAGGTAACAAGGGGTGCCTCTCCCTCTATCCCAGCGACGCAATAAACCGTACGTTATCACCAGAAAACAGAATCAAGTCGCGACACTCCCAGCTAGTAAGAGGAAACAAAAAAAGAGTAAGCGAAGAGGTGGAACAGACCCGACAGAAATCGTGTTATGCAATAGGCAAGGACAAATCGTACAAGAGAAGGCTTCCAGTGGTCATAGCAAAAGTCAAATAATGACAGCTCGCTAGAACCACCCAATAAGCTATTGCCAGTTATTCACAGTGTTAGTAAGGGTTCTACAAACTTACAAGTCGGAGGGGCACCTAGTCACTTTCGTGTTGGGTTGTGGGCTGGACCTCCAAGGAGTCCACCCAGCAGAGTTTGTTGCTGGGGGAACTCCCGGAGCCATTGCCATTAATTTGGGTACAAGCGTGTGAATATGGCTATATCAGAACGTGATTATGGAGCATGAAGGAAACTAAGTATGAACCGCGTTACCTTTGAGACGCCAGCGAAAGAGAAAGCCCATTGTGCACTGGCATGACAGGTGTGCACATTGTGCACATTGTGCACTGGCAGCTCGTCTGTACCGTCTGTTTATCGCCCCGGGTCTGTAAGCTCCAGCGGTGCGTCCCCGTCCCCTCCATCCGGACGGTCGGCGCAGCGCAGCCGTCGCCCGGGCCGTGTGTGCCCGGGTGCGCCGCCAGCCCGCCGCCCGCCGCCCGCCACCCTCGTCACCAGCGCCATCCACTGTCCGGCAGCGGCGGCGGCACGGACACGGTGCCTGTCCCGTCGCCGAAGCACACGTCTCCGCGCTCGCCGCGGCGCGTGACGCGCGTCCAGGGCGAGGCCACGTCCACCAGCCCGCTGGCCAGCCCCAGCAAGAAGGCGCGCCAGGGCGCCGCCTCCGCCAGGTCAGAGCAGGCCGAGGCACGCCGGGCACGACGAGCAGAGCAGGCCGGGCCGGACGGGCTTTCGTGCGGTCTGCTGGTACGGCTGGGTGGCGAGCGAACTGTTCGGTGGTGAGATGCGCGCGGTGGACTGGCCGCGGCGGCCTTTTTGAGACCACGTTCTGTGAGTTTCACATTACCAGGCTGCTCTCTTTGCCTATCTTCTCTCATTTATTTCAATGTGTGTCGTGCTCTCTGGGCTGCATGACAGATATAACCGTCATGCGGCAGTCATCATGTTAGGATAGCTACCGGCCGGGTGTGAACCGAGTGTGAACGAGTGTGGCCGCGTGCAGCGTAGCATGCGCCTGGTGTCGGACATCGCCGCTAGATGTCTCTGCGATGCCTGACGTCGTCTTGTGCCGCAGCTCGTCCGCGGGCCGAGACGCGGCCACGGGGGGCCGCTCGCAGCATCACACCGTCGCCAAGGGGCCCGACCCGCGCCACGCGCGCGGCCCGCAGGCGTCCAACCTGCTGTGAGCGCCGCCGCAGGCCTGGCGTTGCGTGCCGGCGCACGCTGCGCTGCAATGCCCGACTGTACATTGTTCTGTCACTAGATGTCACCCCCATATAGCTCTGTGACATCTGCGTATTGGTGTGCGCTTAGGTGCATGTGGTTGAGTCAAATTTAACCGACCCGTTCGGTAGTTTTTAGTGCTCGTTCACTTGTGTTCCCTGTTGACTGCTTACGAAGAAAGATGTTCCTTGTCTTTAAAGGTCGCTGTTGCGGTGGGTTGGGGACATAAATAATAATGCTCTATCCCCGACCCCACGTCACCTGTCACCGATGTGTCACCTGTCACCGATGTGTCACCTGTCACCTATGTGCCACCTGTCACCTGTGTGTCACCTGTCACCTATGTGTCACCTGTCACCTATGTGTCACCTGTCGCCGATGCGTCACCTGTCATCGATGTTCGCTCGCTGGCTGGTGTTTGGAGGACGGGCCGCGCGTTGTTCGCCGCTTCTGGGTGCGTGACCCGGCCCGCCGCCGCAGGTCTGACTACATCGCCTGGAACGGACCGGACCCGGAGCTGCGCCGCGGCCCGGACCGCCAGCTGCGCCCGGCCGTGCGGCCCTGCCTGGCCCGAGGTGTGTCCGGCCCGGCCGGCTGCGGTGACGGGCGGCGGACCGGGCGGGGCAGGTCGGCGGCGCCCGGCCGCGCTCGGCGTCGCCGTTGCAGGCGGCGTGCCTCCGCGGCCGGCGCTCTTGCCAGACCGGCGGTGTGCTCTTGTGGAGGCGCGGCCCCGGGATAGCAAACTGGGGCCTTGCAGTACGGGGGAGGGGTCGGGGGAGGGAGGAGGGGGGGGGGGGGGGGGGGAATGAAGCGTGGTTTTCCTGCCATCTTTCAATTATACATTGTATTATATTACTTTACCGCACCTCCTTCTTCGGGACCGCTGAAGCTGGCCACGGTGTGGTCCTCTGGGCGCGCCTCAAAGGCGAGTGCCGTCGTCGACGTCCAGCTCCGGTCTGAGCCACACCAGAACCTGGCACCCGGTCTGCAGTGACGTGGCCCATGCCTGCGTGACTCCAACATGGTGACGTGATCCCATCATGGTGACGTGACCCCATCCATGGTGACGTGACCCCATCCATGGTGACGCGACCCCATCCATGATGACGTGACCCCATCCATGGTGACGCGACCCCATCCACGGTGACGTGGCCCCATCATGGTCACGTGATCCCATTCATGATGACATGACCCAATTCATGGTGACGCGGCCCCAGCTGTGGTGACGCGACCCCACCGTGACGTGACCCCACCGTGACGTGACCCCACCTTGACGTGACCCCACCTTGACGTGACCCCATCCATGGTGACGTGACCCCTGCCGCGCCCGCAGGCTCTGACCCGACACTGCGCCGCGGCCCGGCCTGCAAGACCATCAAACAGTACGTGCAGGCGGTGCGGCAGGCGCTGGTGACCAGCCTGTAGCGGGCGGGCCTCGGCAGGCCGGTGGCCGGGGCGGACGGCGTCGCGCCGAGGGTGTGGTGCCGACGCAGCCGGCAGAGAGGAGGAGAGCCAGGTGTCCCCGATGAACGGACGGATGGGCGGAGAAGACGTGCCGGTCAGGGGTGGGGTCTGCTGCCGTCAGGAGGTGGGCCAGGCGGGCTATGGCTGGGGTCTTGGTGACTGGCTAGCGCGTCTGGTTTATGTCTTAGCGTCATACATCTAGTCTCGATGAAAGCAGACAATTGTACTACTTGGTTTGCTTTCCTAGTGGTTGTAAATTATTGTTCCAGTCATATTGCAACAGCGCGTACAAATCACTTGCGTATCAGAGAAACCACCTCGGGTAGGGACGGGGAAGCGATTGAACATTTCTTTCGTTTAGGTAGTTGACGCACTGTCCACTGTCCACTGTACGCACTGTCAGGTTATGCGAACGTGCTGTATAAACAGCAACAAACACTCGTGAGCCTGAGCGGTAGCCACCAGATACCCCAGGGAGAAGACGTGGCACTTACGTCGAACGTAGCAGAACGCAACCCGTGACCAGTATGGAAAATGTAATCAGACAATCTGTGAGGTAGACAGCGCGTGTTTGCAGCGGGAGCAGAGTAAAGCCAGTGGAGGCGTCCTGACAGAGTCCGGTTTTAGAAAGGAGTCTTTGACGATCACCGCTGGGTCTGTCCGATGCTGGAAATACCGCGGTTCTGGCCGTTTCCCAAGCCGTGCGTTGCTGCTGGCCCCCGGTTTTCCTGCGGTCGGCAATGGTACGATGTGGCGGCCGCACACTGCCGATGCGCATGTTCACAAGTGTGTACCAGTTGACCCGGTTCCCCCTGCGCGGATGCCGTGCTCGTGCGTAGTCTCCGGCCGCCGACGACAGATGGCACTGCTCCCCGTGTGGCCGACTCAGCTCGGCCTCGCGGGCAGTGCGTCAGCTTCTGTAGCTACCACGCCAGCTGGGCCTTCGCCGACGGCCATCCAGGCGGCGCCGGCGGCCGGCTCTGCCCCGTGGTGATGCGGCTCTGTGTTCACAAGACATCCTGCCAGGCCTGTTTGAGCCGTCAGCGTCCCGGAGCCATCCAGTATCAGTGGCGCGTTGTGCCAGTCGCCCCGCACGATCGGGCTTTTGTATCGGTGTCGTGTGTTAGCTGTCATCAGCTGTTTTTGGACGTACGTAGTGCAGTGTGTTGTGGGCAGCGCTCGGGTCTCCTCGGATAGCTGTATTCCTGTGGTCTTCTTGGTCATGCGAAGCGACCAGTACAGTTGCTATACAGTTAAGCCGTGTAGCGGACCTGCGACAGTCACCGGTTGCGTCTGAGCCCCGGGCTACACGCGTTTGCTGTGTCGTCTCACCGTACCTTTCCCGTATTTCTCTCCGCTCGCTGCCGCGCTCGCGTCGCTCTTCGCTGTTTGGCCGTCCTCCGCGCTTGGCCTCGCTGGGCTTTTCTGACCGAGCTTTTTATCATGCCAGTGGAGCGGTTTAGGCGTGGGTCCGGCAGCCCCGGCCGTGTTTGTGCCGCGCGTGGCCCGCTGTCCGTGTGCGGCATCGCCTTGCTGTCGACAATCTCGGGTCGACGTTCGCGCGTCACACCCGCTTCTGCGACGCGTGGCACGAGCTGACGGCGTCCCTCCTCCCCCGAGCTCGGGTCGAGCCGCCGAAGCCTGGCCGCCGCCGGTGCCTTGTATGAAATACTTCCATTAGACTCTCTGTGATCGAGCGTATCAAAATTGCCGCCCATCGGGACGCTGGTGTCGTGCAGGGCCGTCTTTTCGGCGCGGCGGGTTTTGCAGACGCCTGGCAGCCGCTGCCCGCCTCGTGGGCGCGTTTGTGCGCGCCAGTCCGTCGGTGTCCGCGCTAGTCTCGTGGCGTAGTTGGATGTCGTGGGTGGCGTGCGTGGCGGCGCCGTGTGTCTCCCGTCCTGGGTGTGGTAGGCGGCCGCGGCATGCCCGACCGGGCAGGGTGAAGCTCGGCGCCCGGCGTGCGTCACATTGGGGTACAAGGCCGTCGTTGGACTCGGCGATCGCACGGCATTCGTCACCCTGGCGCCGAGGTGGGTCACGCTCCGGGCCTCCGCCATCTCTCTCCTCAGGCGCCTCGCCAGTCACTCAGTCACAGTATCGCGGCCATTGTCGCCGCCGGACGGGCACGGAGAAATATCATGGCTTGTCTGTTGTGCTTCCTACGCCAGTATCGTATGTTGCCCCTGTGGGCATTCACTTTTGGTATTGGTTCTCGCTGGAATTGTTGCACAAAAAAGTCCTAGTTGTTTGCTGCGGATGTTTGTTTCAGCCATGTCTTGTTTATTTGGCTGCGCTTAAGTCAACCTGCATTTGACGTAGACGTTATCAATAAACAGAGCTTGCCGCGCACACCCGTGTCTGCCCGTGATTTGACAACAGCAGTGTGTAGACCAGGTGACACTTGGTGAACCGTCACTTGTCTTAAGGCCGGGCGGGCTAATTGCGTCCACCTGCCCGTCTAGGGCACGATTAAAACTGCAATCTTCGGTGTCCGCCTTCCCCCGGAGTCGCGGTGATAACCGCGGCAGGATGACGCCCGTGCCGAGACGAGGGAGACGCGGCGGTGGGCGCGCGGTAGGAGGTCCAGGGGAAGCAGCGGCCGGCCGCGGCGGCTGACTGTCAACACTGGCACTGTCAGAGGGCGGGACGCCGCCAGCGTGGGTCGGGCCCGGCAGCGTGGGTCGAGCCCGGTCACCAGCGTGGGTCAGGCCCGTCCGCCAGCGTGGGTCAGGCCCATCCGCCAGCGTGGGTCGGGCCCATCCGCCAGCGTGGGTCAGGCCCATCCGCCAGCGTGGGTCGGACCGGGCCGTCAGCGTGGGTCGGGCCCGGCAGCGTGGGTCGGGCCCGTCCGCCGGCGTGGATCCGGCCCGGTCACCAGCGTGGGTCGGGCCCGGCCGCCGGCGCGCGCCACCCCCAGGGATTAGTGGCTATCTCCATATGAATGACTGTCCCAGTGCTTATTGAATGGGCGCGTGGCACGGGACGGGCGACGCGTGCGGTGCAGGCGACCCGCCGAGCCGCGCCGCCCACGGCGGACCGCGCTATGCAAAGTTTGTGGTGCCGCAAAGATGGACATGCATGTTTTTATCGTCTTCGGCACGGTCAGCATTGAGCGGGCTTAAATACGCTTCTTTGAATACCACAGCTCCGGGCGGATATGCCTTTTGTATATGTCATTCGATATCTGAATATATGAGACGCGCTGAACAAAGGTAAGCTTCTAGGCGCATCCCATTTTGGCACGGGAGCACCGGTTCCTCCCCTATAAAGCGCCGCATATCTGTTTGCAGAAGCGCCCGAATTATGGCCAGACACGCCAAGAGGAGACGCCGACGCTTGTGATGCAGTCAGTCATGGTGCGCTCGGTTGCCGACCGAAGCCGCTCGTGGGGATACTTTAAGAGCAGACGGGCTCTGCTGACTCCAGTCGGGCTTTGTTACTACAGACTGTTTGTGTAAGGGAGATATTCCACATTTGTATGGGGCTTTGAACTGAAATAGCCATCTTCAAGATCACTGGGTGCAGCTCACAACCCAGCCCTTATCAAGACCTAAACCCCTGTATGAGCTAAGACCTAATCCAAGATCTAATCCAAGACCTAAACCCCTGCAGTTTCTGAGCTACGTCCCCGAGAGAACGTGCAGACTATTTCGGGGAGGCTGTTTTAAGGTCACCTCGGCATGCATGACGCCATGATGACATTATTCAAGTTTTGGCATTCCATTAGTCATGCAGCGGTCAAGGCCAAGACGAATATAATTGCCGGGTCGTTCTTATCTGGCATCCGGCGTTCGTGAGCACGATTTCCAGATATAACGGCCGTGAATAGGCCATGAATCGATGTGCAGGGTACGATGTGTAATATAACCATGATGTACTGAGGAGCGCATTTACTAAACAGAGAAATTGTGCTGTCTAGAGCAGTTTTTTAGCTTAAAAGTATACCAATGGTCGAAGATGAGCTTATGTTATCATATCTGGTGATTGCTTCAGTATCTTTAGATAGAGAAGATTCTTTTAAACTCCAGACGAGTTTTGCTGACTGACTAGACAGAACAGTGTGGTGTGCCCGATACCTCGGTTTCCGCTCGAATGCGCCACAGGGTGCGGATGATACATCTCTGATGACAGGACTCTGACTCCGATGATACCCACTCTGACCACCAGCTCGGTCCACCTCCGCCGCACCTGCCCGCTTCCCGCCGCCGACGCCAGGGGCGCTGCGTTCGCGGCTGGCCACCCATCGATGGCGGTCAGCCGGAAACGAATCCATCGGTCACATCCCGGCGTGACGCCCGGCTGCAGCCGATGGTCATCGCAGCGGTCCCGGGGCGAGTTGGCTCGGATACCCGGCCAGGCGGCGGACAGAGAGACATTGCGAGAGATAACGCGCCGGTGCTCGCCTGCGGACTACGCAGACGGACCACACGGAGCGGGGACAGCTGCGGATGGGCGCCTCGGCGCGGGAGCCCAGGCGACGGGGTTTCGGGAGCCGGGCCTCTGCGGATGGGCGCCTCGGGAGGGAGCCCAGGCGACGGGGTTTCGGGAGCCGGGCCTCTGCGGATGGGCGCCTCGGGAGGGAGCCTAGGGGACGGGGTTTCGGGAGCCGGGGCCTCTACGGATGGTCGCCTCAGGGGGGGGGGGGGGGGGGGGGGACAGGAGACGAGGGTTCGGGAACCGGGGCCTCTGCAGTGTGCTCGAGATCAATTATGGCTGAGTTTACTGGGACCTTGCTCGGCGCGTTTTGTGATAACACCGGTGCCAATATGTTTGTACTTACGATACTTAGAACATAAATATACAAACAATACATTGAGAGCACAAATGTTTGTCGAGATTCCTGTAACTAAAATTTAGAATTGACTATCGGAAGACATGTGGTTTGGGTCCAAAATTTTGCTTGCGGGAAGTGAGTCCTGGCTCCCAAGCTAGGAGGAAATAAGGAACCAGTTTGTAATCAAGCCGGAGAACCAGCACGACCCAGGATCAGCACTGAACTGTGCTGAGAGAACCAGCAAGAATCGGGATCCAGTCCGATAGGGAGATCAAGCAGGAACCAAGATATAATCCGGAATTCGCGTGAGACAACCAGGATCCAGCTTGGAGTTACACCTACAATTTGTCAAAAACCAAGGTTATGTACAGAGTGAATAGAACCAGCAAGAAGCGGAACCTTATTTGGAACTCCGGTCAAAAACCAATAATTATCCATGCGTTGTACTTGCTTGCATTCGCGTACGGCATAACGAGTGAGCCGTGCCTCCAGTTGTGAGTGAGAAAGAGAATTAACAGTGCACGGTGTTGGGAATGACCATTAGCAACAAAAAGGACGGCCTGGTGCTAAAATATCGAGACAGAAGGCAGACTGCTTATTACGAGAGAACCAGTGGCAACCAAAAACCATGGCCAACATGTGAAATGAATAAGCAATGGGCACCAAAACCAGGGTCTGGCCTTTGAGAGTGATTAATGGGAACCAGAAATCAGAACTTCGTGCATGAACCGAGGGGAGCCAGCGGTCGGCATTCGGTGTCCGCAAAAGCACCAATGCTGATCAGAAATCGGCTGCTGGTGTTTGAACAATAACCAGTGGGATTCAGAAACCAACAGCTGGTGGCTGCAGAGAATGTGAGAACGGGGATCCCGCATCTTGTTTTCATGACGAGCCAGCAACGAACAAGAAACAACGTTTGGAACCAAGTATGTGTCTGGCTATCTGTAGCAAACTACGTTATAGTATTCCTACTCAGTTATATGGGGGGGGGGGGGGCGGACTGCCCTCCCCAACATTGTCTTCACCCTCCCCCCTCCCAACGTAAAGAAGAAAATGGGCCAAATCGTGGCAGAAAACCTTCCTAGGGCAATTTTGGTTGTCGTAGCATTTTTCACCGTTCAGCCCCCAGCCTATTTTGAGGAACTACGCCGCTACCCTGGGCCATACCTGAGCCCTGGTGCTAACCTTACAATCATACTTGGCTCGGAAATACCTGAAATGTACCTGCACCTACCTCCGAATGCCAGGTGTCACAGATGCCACGCACATCGACCAACGCTGACGACAATCTACCCGAACACAGCACCCTCTCCCGCTGCGGCACCCCATATATGTGCCGACAAGCTGGAACACCCTCCGTCTCCACAACCCCGCCCTCCCGCGTACCGTTGCACGCGCCCGGTAAGGCGGTGTCCACGTTCGCCGTCCCTCATCACGGCGTCGTCGACAGCTCCGCCTTCGCAACTGGTCGGCGCAGGCCGCGTCTGCAAAGCGATCCGCTCGTAAAGCAGGCCGGCGGCGGCGGCGCCGCCTGACCGGTGAAGAACGTCCGCGCGGTGGGCGTAAATCGGCCGTCGCGTCCACCTTCTGTCCCGGCCCGGTCCGCCGGTAATTAACCAGCGACCGCCGCGCGCGCTGGATAAAAGCCCTCTCTAATTACGATTGCTTGCAACGATGCAATTTAAAGGCGGCCGCTGTGATGGAGGCCGATGGTGCGCAGCAAGGCCTGTCTCCGCCCATCCTCATTTCAATACCGGCGGGGCCCACCGCCGCGCGCCCCGGGAGGGAGGGGAGAGAGGCTGGCCGGCGGCGCAAGCGGCACCGGCGCTATCGCCGCTCCTGAAAGGCGCGCGGAGTCGCACAAACTCGGCCCCGCATTTTGATGCGATGTTTTTTGGGTCGGGGCCATACACGGCCCAAAAACGCTGACGGACTTCGCTGACAGCTCTGCTGAGGCGGCCGTTTCCATCTGAAGACAGTTTTTGTGCGTGATTTTGAAAACTGCAACATTGCAAAATGTTTATGGGGCTGCGATTGCCGGAAGGCCTACAACACAAGATCAAAACGCTGCAGTCCATGCTTGAAGTACATTGAGTTTGTTCTCTTTGGTGCTCGATACTCTTTCGATGCCAGCATTAGTTTCAGCATTTACAACTCTACGCACTGATCTTCCTCCGGCTTGCGCTGCCAGCAACTGCTTACATGGGTTGGCAGCGTTCTCCCTAAAAAACCAAAGGATGCGAGTTCAGTCCCCACGTTTACGTACAATATAACGTTATTGACTGTTGTAAACGCTACGACGTCCTCTTCTTGTCATGCGCCCTGTTGCTGGCGAGCTCTCTCAACTCTTATACAACTTGTCTGGCTCTAAATATTAAAATATACCCTGCAAAACGTATTCCCATGCTACTTTTTTGACATCAGATCAAATAGCACATTGTAAGGAAAATATCGTGCCGGATTGCGCACTGTTGGCAAATGGTCGTGATATTCGAGAAGCCATGAAACCGTACTGACTGAAATCATATGCCATTACTTGGATTGTTGCTTTGTTAGCAATAATCGACCTTCGATA